GACCATTTTAAGGCATGTGGACTTCAACTCCCAGAATTCCACAGCCAGCAATGCTGGCTGTGGAATTCTGGGAGTTGAAGTCCACATGCCTTAAAATTGTCAAGGTTGAGAAACACTGCTTTATAGGGTTCCTGCCTGAGCAAGGGGTGGACTACTAGAAGATCTCCCTTCCAACCTCTGTTATTCTGCGAAACTGCAGTATTTCTCAACCTTGACCATTTTGGCATGGACTTCAACTCCAGAATTCCACAGCCAGCAATGCTGGCTGTGGAATTCTGGGAGTTGAAGTCCACATGCCTTAAAATGGTCAAGGTTGAGAAACACTGCTTTATAGGGTTTTCCTGCCTGAGCAAGGGGTGGGACTACTAGAAGATCTCCCTTCCAACTCTGTTATTCTGCTAAACTGCAGTATTTCTCACCTTGACCATTTTAAGGCATGTGGACTTCAACTCCCAGAATTCCACAGCCAGCAATGCTGGCTGTGGAATTCTGGGAGTTGAAGTCCACATGCCTTAAAATGGTCAAGGTTGAGAAACACTGCTTTATAGGGTTTCCTGCCTGAGCAAGGGGTGGGACTACTAGAAGATCTCCCTTCCAACTCTGTTATTCTGCTAAACTGCAGTATTTCTCAACCTTGACCATTTTAAGGCATGTGGACTTCAACTCCCAGAATTCCACAGCCAGCATTGCTGGCTGTGGAATTCTGGGAGTTGAAGTCCACATGCCTTAAAATGGTCAAGGTTGAGAAACACTGGGCTAAAGGGCAATTCCCTTCTCACTTTGCTCGTTCCCTTCCCTGGGCTTCGTCCCCTCCCTCCCTCTCCTTTTTCTCCGACAGTCTCGGGCGAAACAGCTCCGGACTGCCGGCCCAGCGCAGCATCCCACGCAGGACCACTTCCCCCGTGGTAGAAGGGAGGGGGCGTGCGGGGCCTCCGAGGGGGCGGTGCTCTGCGTCCTTTAGAGAGGGGGAGGAGCTGGGCGGGGAGGGGAGGAGCTAGAAAGGTTTCCTGCTTGGGCTCTGCGCAGTCCCGTTCCGGGGAGGAGAATCCAGGTAAGTGGCCGGGAAGGAAGGAAGGAAAGTGGCGTGGCCGGCGGGGTTCGCGGATCCTTTGCTGCGCGCATCTCTCGGGGAGCGGAGTCCGGGCGAGGAAGAGAGCCGCCTTTTTCCTTTCGAGCGCCAGGTAAGAAGTTCCTTCCTTCCTTCCTTCCTTCCTTCCTTCCTTCCTTCCTTCCTTCCTTCCTTCCTTCCTCCCTCCCTCCTTCCTCCCTCCTTCTTTCCTTCCTTCCCTCCTTTCTTCCTTCCCTCCTTCGTCCGTCCTTCTTTCCTTCTTTCCTTCCTTCCTTCCTTCCTTCCTTCCTTCCTTCCTTCCTTCCTTCCTCCCTCCCTCCCTCCCTCCCTCCCTCCCTCCTTCCTTCCTTCCTTCCTTCCTTCCTTCCTTTCATCCTTCCTTCCCTCCTTCCTTCTTCCTTTCCTTTCCCTTCCTTCCTTCCTTCCTTCCTTCCTTCCTTCCTTCCTTCCTTCCTTCCTTCCTTCCCTTCTTCGTCCTTCCTTCCTTCCCCTTCCTTCCTTCCTTCCTTCCTTCCTTCCTTCTTCCTTTCTTCCTTCGTCTGTCCTTCTTTCCTTCTTTCCTTCCTGCCTGCCTCCCTTCCTTCCTTCCTTCCTCCCTCCCTCCCTCCCTCCTTCCTTCCTTCCTTCCTTCCTTCCTTCCTTTCGTCCTTCCTTCCCTCCTTCCTTCTTCCTTTCCTTTCCCTTCCTTCCTTCCTTCCTTCCTTCCTTTCCTTCCTTCCTCCTTCCTTTCCTTCTTCCTTCGCCTTCTGTCTTCTTTTGTCCTTCCTTCCTTCCCCTTCCCCTTCCTTCCTTCGTTCTTCCTTTCTCTTCCCTCCTTCGTTCTCGTGCTTCTTTCCTTCTTTCCTTCCTTCCTCCTTCCTTTCCTTCCTTCTTCCTTCCTTCCTTCCTTCCTCCTCCTCCCTCCCTCCCTCCCACTCCCTCCTTCGTCTTCCTTCCTTCCTTCCTTCCTTCCTTCCTTCCTTCCTTCCTTTCGTCCTTCCTTCCGCTCCTTCCTTCTTCCTTTCCTTTCCCTTCCTTCCTTTCCTTCCTTCCTTCGCTTCCTTCCTTCCTTCCCTTACTTCTTCTTCCTTCCTCTTCCATTCCTTCCCTTCTTCCTTTCTTCCTTCCCTCCTTTCGTCTGTCCTTTCCTTCCTTCCTTCCTTCCTTCCTCCCTCCCTCCCTCCCTCCCTCCTTCCTTCCTTCCTTCCTTCCTTCCTTCCTTTCGTCCTTCCTTCCCTCCTTCTTTCTTCCTTTCCTTTCCCTTCCTTCCTTCCTTCCTTCCTTCCTTCCTTCCTTCCTTCCTTCCTTCCCTTCTTCGTCCTTCCTTCCTTCCCCTTCCTTCCTTCCTTCCTTCGTTCTTCCTTTCTTCCTTCCCTCCTTCGTCTGTCCTTCTTTCCTTCTTTCCTTCCTTCCTTCCTTCCTTCCTTCCTTCCTTCCTTCCTTCCTTCCTCCTCCCTCCCTTCCTCCCTCCCTCCTTCCTTCCTTTCCTTACTTCCTTCCTTTCTCTCCTTCCCTCCTTCCTTCCTTCCTTTCTTTCCTTCTTCCTTCCTTCCTTCCTTCCTTCCTTCCTTCCTTCCCTTCTTCGTCCTTCCTTCCTTCCCCTTCCTTCCTTCCTTCCTTCCTTCCTTCTTCCTTTCTTCCTTCGTCTGTCCTTCTTTACTTCTTTCCTTCCTGCCTGCCTCCCTTCCTTCCTTCCTTCCTCCCTCCCTCCCTCCCTCCTTCCTTCCTTCCTTCCTTCCTTCCTTTCGTCCTTCCTTCCCTCCTTCCTTCTTCCTTTCCTTTCCCTTCCTTCCTTCCTTCCTTCCTTCCTTCCTCCCTTCCTTTCTTCCCTTCCTCCTTCCTTCCTTTCCCTTCTTCGTCCTTCATTCCTTCCCTTACCTTCCTTCCTTCCTTCCTCCCTCCCTCCTCCCTCCCTCCCTCCCTCCCTCCCTCCCTTCGAAATACCTGGACAGGTGACCCTCCACTGCAGCTTCTTGGGGCGCCCCTAAGTTCGCTCCTGCACTCCCCATTTTCTCCTTTTATTATTATTATTATTATTATTATTATTATATTATTATTATCTCCTTTTATTCCGCTGGCCCTTCCGAATCGTTTCCCGTGACTTTCTTTTTCCTCTGGGGCTGTTTCAGATCCACAAGGTCTTGAAATTCAGTGGCTACTAAACCGGCCGGAGGAAAAGGGGGCGACCCCTCCCAGGAGCCATTGTTTCCGGGGAGTTGCTCGAGATGAGCCGCTTCAGGAGAGAGCATCAGGCAAAGGCTCCATCTGATGCCTAATAATAATAATAATAATAATAATAATAATAATAATATCCCAGGTCCTGGGTAAGGACTCGATAGGTAGACAAAATGCCAAATCCAGTCTGAACATCTGGCTGACTGTGCGATGATCGATAATAATAATAATAATAATAATAATAAAAGTTGGAAGGGACCTTGGAGGTCATCTAGTCCAACCCCTTGCTCAGGCAGGAAACCCTATACCATTTAGGACAAATGCCCAGTCTCTTCTTAAAAACTTCCAGTGTTGGAGCATTCACCACTTCTAGAGGCAGGTTGTTCCACTGGTTAATTGTTCTACCTGTCAGGAAGTTTCTCCTTAGTTCTAGGTTGCTTCTCTCCTTGGTTAGTTTCCACTAGTTCTGCTTGAGTGGGGGGCTGGACTAGAAGACCTCTAAGCTCCCTTCCAGCTTCTATTCCTATTCCTGTTCTATTCCTGTTCTAAATGAACGGTTGTAAGTTGAGGACTAACCTGTAATAATAATCGGATAAGACCAACTCCTTTTCCTGCCAACTCCCGTTTTCCAGGGAAAGGACAGTTTCCTGACAGAACAATTACTCAGTGGAACGACTTGCCTCCAGAAATTGTGGGTGCTCCAACACTGGAGGTTTTTAAGAAGAGATTGGCAACCATTTGTCTGACACTTTATGCAGTGTTTCTCAACCTTGACCATTTTAAGGCATGTGGACTTCAACTCCCAGAATTCCACAGCCAGCAATGCTGGCTGTGGAATTCTGGGAGTTGAAGTCCACATGCCTTAAAATGGTCAAGGTTGAGAAGCACTGCTTTATAGGGTTTCCTGCCTGAGCAAGGGGTGGGACTACTAGAAGATCTCCCTTCCAACTCTGTTATTCTGCTAAACTGCAGTGTTTCTCAACCTTGACCATTTTAAGGCATGTGGACTTCAACTCCCAGAATTCCACAGCCAGCAATGCTGGCTGTGGAATTCTGGGAGTTGAAGTCCACATGCCTTAAAATGGTCAAGGTTGAGAAGCACTGCTTTATAGGGTTTCCTGCCTGAGCAAGGGGTGGGACTACTAGAAGATCTCCCTTCCAACTCTGTTATTCTGCTAAACTGCAGTGTTTCTCAACCTTGACCATTTTAAGGCATGTGGACTTCAACTCCCAGAATTCCACAGCCAGCAATGCTGGCTGTGGAATTCTGGGGGTTGAAGTCCACATGCCTTAAAATTGTCAAGGTTGAGAAACACTGCTTTATAGGGTTCCTGCCTGAGCAAGGGGTGGACTACTAGAAGATCTCCCTTCCAACTCTGTTATCCTGCTAAACTTCAGTATTTTTCTCACCTTGCCATTTTAATAATTTGGACTTTCAACTCCCAGAATTCCACAGCCACATTGCTGCTGTTGGAATTCGGGAGTTGAAGTCCACATGCCTTAAAATGGTCAAGGTTGAGAAACACTGTGCTAAAGGGCAATTCCCTTCTCACTTTGCTCGTTCCCTTCCCTGGGCTTCGTCCCCTCCCTCCCTCTCCTTTTTCTCCGACAGTCTCGGGCGAAACAGCTCCGGACTGCCGGCCCAGCGCAGCATCCCACGCAGGACCACTTCCCCCGTGGTAGAAGGGAGGGGGCGTGCGGGGCCTCCGAGGGGGCGGTGCTCTGCGTCCTTTAGAGAGGGGGAGGAGCTGGGCGGGGAGGGGAGGAGCTAGAAAGGTTTCCTGCTTGGGCTCTGCGCAGTCCCGTTCCGGGGAGGAGAATCCAGGTAAGTGGCCGGGAAGGAAGGAAGGAAAGTGGCGTGGCCGGCGGGGTTCGCGGATCCTTTGCTGCGCGCATCTCTCGGGGAGCGGAGTCCGGGCGAGGAAGAGAGCCGCCTTTTTCCTTTCGAGCGCCAGGTAAGAAGTTCCTTCCTTCCTTCCTTCCTTCCTTCCTTCCTTCCTTCCTTCCTTCCTTCCTTCCTTCCTTCCTTCCTTCCTCCCTCCCTCCTTCCTCCCTCCTTCTTTCCTTCCTTCCCTCCTTCTTCTTCCTTCCTGTCCGTCCTTCTTTCCTTCTTTCCTTCCTTCCTTCCTTCCTTCCTTTCGTCTTTCCTTCCCTCCTTCCTTCTTCCTTTCCTTTCCCTTCCTTCCTTCCTTCCTTCCTTCCTTCCTTCCTTCCTTCCTTCCTTCCTTCCTTCCTTCCTTCCTTCCTTCCTTCGTCCTTCCTTCCTTCCCCTTCCTTCCTTCTTTCCTTCGTTCTTCCTTTCTTCCTTCCCTCCTTCGTCCGTCCTTCTTTCCTTCTTTCCTTCCTTCCTTCCTTCCTTCCTCCCTCCCTCCCTCCCTCCCTCCTTCCTTCCTTCCTTCCTTCCTTCCTTCCTTTCGTCCTTCCTTCCCTCCTTCTTTCTTCCTTTCCTTTCCCTTCCTTCCTTCCTTCCTTCCTTCCTTCCTTCCTTCCTTCCTTCCTTCCCTTCTTCGTCCTTCCTTCCTTCCCCTTCCTTCCTTCCTTCCTTCGTTCTTCCTTTCTTCCTTCCCTCCTTCGTCTGTCCTTCTTTCCTTCTTTCCTTCCTTCCTTCCTTCCTTCCTTCCTTCCTTCCTTCCTCCCTCCTTCCTTCCTTCCTTCCTTCCTTCCTTCCTTTCATCCTTCCTTCCCTCCTTCCTTCTTCCTTTCCTTTCCCTTCCTTCCTTCCTTCCTTCCTTCCTTCCTTCCTTCCTTCCTTCCTTCCTTCCTTCCCTTCTTCGTCCTTCCTTCCTTCCCCTTCCTTCCTTCTTTCCTTCGTTCTTCCTTTCTTCCTTCCCTCCTTCGTCCGTCCTTCTTTCCTTCTTTCCTTCCTTCCTTCCTTCCTTCCTCCCTCCCTCCCTCCCTCCCTCCTTCCTTCCTTCCTTCCTTCCTTCCTTCCTTTCGTCCTTCCTTCCCTCCTTCTTTCTTCCTTTCCTTTCCCTTCCTTCCTTCCTTCCTTCCTTCCTTCCTTCCTTCCTTCCTTCCTTCCCTTCTTCGTCCTTCCTTCCTTCCCCTTCCTTCCTTCCTTCCTTCGTTCTTCCTTTCTTCCTTCCCTCCTTCGTCTGTCCTTCTTTCCTTCCTTCCTTCCTTCCTTCCTTCCTTCCTTCCTTCCTTCCTTCCTTCCTCCCTCCCTCCCTCCCCCTCCTTCCTTCTTCCTTCCTTCCTTTCGTCCTTCCTTCCCTCCTCATTCTTCCTTTCCTTTCCCTTCCTTCCTTCCTTCCTTCCCTTCCTTCCCTTCTTCGTCCTTCCTTCCTTCCCCTTCCTTCCTTCCTTCCTTCCTTCCTTCCTTCCTTCTTCCTTTCTTTCCTTCGTCTGTCCTTCCTTCTTTCCTTCCTCCTTCCTCCCTTCCTTCCTTCCTCCCTCCCTCCCTCCCTCCTTCTTCCTTCCTCCTGTTCTTCCTCCCTCCTCCCTTCCCCTTCCTTCCTTCCTTCCTTCCTTCCTTCCTTCCTTCCTTCCTTCTTCCTTTCTTCCTTCCCTCCTTCGTCTGTCCTTCTTTCCTTCTTTCCTTCCTGCCTGCCTCCCTCCCTTCCTTCCTTCCTTCCTTCCTTCCTCCCTCCCTCCCTCCCTCCCTCCCTCCCTTCGAAATACCTGGACAGGTGACCCTCCAATGCAGCTTCTTGGGGCGCCCCTAAGTTCGCTCCTGCACTCCCCATTTTCTCCTTTTATTATTATTATTATTATTATTATTATTATTATATTATTATTATCTCCTTTTATTCCGCTGGCCCTTCCGAATCGTTTCCCGTGACTTTCTTTTTCCTCTGGGGCTGTTTCAGATCCACAAGGTCTTGAAATTCAGTGGCTACTAAACCGGCCGGAGGAAAAGGGGGCGACCCCTCCCAGGAGCCATTGTTTCCGGGGAGTTGCTCGAGATGAGCCGCTTCAGGAGAGAGCATCAGGCAAAGGCTCCATCTGATGCCTAATAATAATAATAATAATAATAATAATAATAATAATAATAATAATAAAGTTGGAAGGGACCTTGGAGGTCATCTAGTCCAACCCCCTGCTCAGGCAGGAAACCCTATACCATTTCCGACAAATGGCTGTCCAGTTTCTTCTTAAAAACATCCAGTGTTGGAGCATTCACCGCTTCTGGAGGCAGGTTGTTCCACTGGTTAATTGTTCTAACTGTCAGGAAATTTCTCCTCAGTTCTAGATTGGATCCCTCCTTGATTGGTTTCCATTCATTGTTTTCTTCTCCTGCCTTCAGGTGCTTTGGAGAATAGCGTAACTCCCTCTGAGATATTGGAACACTGCTATCATGTCCCCCCTCATCCTTCTCTTCACTAAACTAGACATAACCAATTCCAGCAGCCTTTCCATATATGCTTTAGCGTATATCTCAGGATTAACTTCGCCCGAGAGTTTCTTTCATTCCTGAATTAGTTTTCATTGTTTAATTTAACTGTGTTTTTAAAGTCTCGTGTGCATTTTCAAAAGGTTTTTTTGTGCGCATTTAAAAAGTGTCACCTTTTTTTCCCCTCTGAGCCAGCATATCGCAACCCGGGCAACTTGTAAGATATATGTGGACTTCAACTCCCAGAATTCCCTAACCTGCTGTGCTGGCTAGGGAATTCTGGGAGTTGACATTCACATATCTTTTTTTTTTACAAATTTTATTTATAATACAATTAAAAACAAACAAACATTGGATTTGACGTGACATTCAAGTATATACATTCTTATCAGATTATTCCACTTTTTACAATCAATTCTTCAACTCTACATATACATCTAAGTTTTATATACAATACTTATTCTAAAATAACATATATTTTTATCTTAACATTCATCTTTGATCCCGACCGTCCTCTTCAAATTCCTCCAGCGGTAAAATTTATCCCAGGTTTCATAATAAACTGATCCACATTTATCTTTTTATATCATTGTGAGCCTGTCCATTTCCGCACATGCTAATATTTTATGTATTAACTCTTTCTCTGTGGGAATTTCCTTGCTCTTCCATTTTTGCGCTAAAGCAAGCCTAGCTGCAGTCAGGATGTGTAGCAGCTGGTAGATTGTTCCCTTGTCGTATTTTTCTGTCGTTATTCCCAACAAAAAGAGTTCAGGTTTTAACTCTGAAGTCCAGTGTTAATATATCCCTCAACCAGTTTCGTGTCCTGTTCCAATATTTATGGATCTTTGGGCATTCCCACCACATATGGTAGTATGAGACGTTCACATATCTTAAAGCTGCCAAGGTTGAGAAACATTGCTGTAGGCCAGGAGTTAACCTGATTTGGGTTCCATGGGAAAGGAAAATTCTTCCTTTTTTTTCTGTTTGTATTTTGCCTCCGTATTAATCTTCTCAATTTTTCAGTGCGTTAAATCAGTTTTCCTAAAATGTTATTTCTCTTGTGTTAAATTTGTCTTCCTGACGTATTGTACCTCCCTACCATCTGGACAGCAGACCTATTGGCGAGAATACATACAAAACCCTGTCATGCTCTGATGGGAGATGAGTGAGCCTCATTTTGTGGCATCTCCTGTTTTACTCCAAGCCAGTGTTTCTCAACCTTGACAATTTTAAGGCATGTGGACTTCAACTCCCAGAATTCCACAGCCAGCATTGCTGTGTGAGACTAGGCCAGGGGTAGGCAACCTTGGCTCTTTTATGACTCCTGGACTTCAACTCCCAGAATTCCTGAGCCAGGCTGGCTCAGGAATTCTGGGAGTTGAAGTCCAGGAGACATAAAAGAGCCAAGGTTGCCTACCCATGGACTAGGCCAAAGCCACCATACCTAAAAGTGGCCAAGGCATATAAGAAGGGTGGACAAAAACCAGTAAAAACTTCTTCAGGGAAAGGGAACCGAGTCCATAAGGAAACAAAAAGGACCAAAGTGGGGACTGAGCACGTGACAAGCCCCTCCTCAAGTCTCACCAACAAAGGGGTTGGGCCTGCATGGGAAACCCCCTCCCCACCAATTTCTGGGGGATAAAAAGAGGTCCTGAAGCTGGCCCTGTGGGTTTTTTTTGAGTCCTTGTTTTTGGATTCCAAACTTTGCAGATTCCATCCCTCTGGCTAGTGCCTGGCGGCATAGTATTGGACCCTTGGTAAGTGTGGATGTGTGTGTGTGTTTGTGTGTTAGACCAAAAATATAGCGGTAAAAGTATGCTGTTATTTTAAACCCACCGGGTCTCTGTTTATTTTAAAGAACCATTTGTGTCGCAGTGTTCAGTTGATCTGGGATTGAGTGTGGCAATTTTCCAGGTGTGTGTGTGTGTGTGTGTGTGTGTGTGTGTGTGAGAGAGAGAGAGAGAGAGAGGGAGACGGAGGGAGGGAGGGAGGGAAGGAGAGAGAGAGAGAGAGGGAGAGGGAGAGAGAGAGAGAGAGAGAGGGAGAGAGAGAGAGAGAGAGAGAGAGAGAGAGAGAGAGAGAGAGAGAGAGAGAGAATAAGCTGAACCTGAGAGCACAGGTCTGCAACACCCACCTTTCAGGAGAGGAGAGAGAAAAGAGTGAAGGAGGGGAGAAGGAAGTAGGAAGGTTGGAGGAGAAGAGGAGAAGTGGGGAGAAAGGGGAGGAGAGTGGTGAAGGAAAGAGAAGAGGAGAGGAAGAGGGAAGTAGGGAAGAGAAGAGAGGGAGAAAGAAGGTAGAGAAGAAGGAGTGTGGATACAGTGAAAGGGGAAATGGGCGGGCAACACCAAAAGTCATGTGCATGTATTTATTTCATTTTATTATAAGTACTTTATATATGAATGTAAAAAGAATGTATGTTAACATCTGATAAATATCACGGTATGTGTATGGGGGAGAGTTTGGAAAAATAAAAAATTATTAAAAAAAAAAAACCACACACCTTTCAGCTTTCCTCTCACCAGCTTCAGCTTCTATATGCTGTTGCTGTGACTGCAAGACATTCAAATAAACTGAGTCCCTAGTTAGCACAGAAATGGGCTAAAATCATTCCTCTTCATTGTAGCTTCAAGAATATCATTAGGATGTTTGATAGCAAATTATTCCTTTGCTGTTTTTTTTTTTCCTCACTCCTAGACACTCTAATGGCATCGTGTTCATCTCTTGGAACCTTGGTTCTTTCTAGCGGAGGATTAACAGCAGACGTGCTTCCAGCTCAGGTAGGCTGAGTCTCCCCTCCCTTAAAGTGCCACTTTGATCTAGTGAAGAAGTCCCCAATAACAGAATAACAGAGTTGGAAGGGATCTTGGAGGTCTTCTAGTCCAGTGGTGGCGAACCTATGGCACGGGTGCCAGAGGCGGCACTCAGAGCCCTCTCTGTGGGCACGCGCGCCGTCGCCCCAGTCCTAGGCCTTCAGCTGGGTTTTATAAAACCTTTTTCGCTTTAGGCCTCCACCGCCGTGTGCAAAAAAAAAAAAAGGTTCAATCAATCAGTCAATTTCAACTTCTCGCGGGAAAAAAAAGATCTCGCAAAGTTGGAATTGATTGATTGAACTTTTTAGTCCCACCCAGTCTGCCATTTCCACCATAGCCACGCCTACCCAATGGGCCACACCCACCCGGCACCCGACGATGCATAAGTGGTTTTTGGGTTGCAGTTTGGGCACTCGGTCTCTAAAAGGTTCGCCATCACTGTTCTAGTCCAAACCCCTATTTAAACAGGAGACCCTTGAGGAGAAGGAGGAGAGGGGGAGAGTGAGGAAGAGGAAGAAGAGGGAAAGAGGGAAGTAGATTAGAGGATGGGGGGAAATGGGTGAGCAATACCGAAAGTTGTTTGTATCAATTTGTTTTATTTTTTATCTGAAGTATTTTTATGAATGTAATGCATTGTAAAATTGAAAATAAATTTTTTTTTTACAAAAAAATAAAATAAACAGAAGACCCTGTACCATTTCAGTTTCCAGTCTCTTCTTAAAAACCTCCAGTGATTTAAGTGCCCACAACTTCTGAAGGCACGTTGTCCCATTAGTTAATTGTTCTCATTGTCAGGAAGTTTCTCCTTAATTCCAAGTTGACTTTTCTTCTTGATTAGTTTCCATCCATTGTTTCTTGTCTCGCCTTCTGGTGCTTTGGAAAATGTTGAGCCCTTCTTCTTTGTGGCAGCCCCTCAAATACTGGGACACTGCTATCATGCCTCCCAGAGTCTTTCTTTTCTCTAGAGTAGCCATATCCAGTTCCTGCAACTGTTCTTCAAGTCTCAACATCTTTCTTGTAATGTGGTGACCAAAACTGGATGCAGTATTCCAGATGTGGTCTTTACTAAGTTTTTTTTAAAAAATGGTTACACATGAAAGCCCAAAGTAAAAAAAAACTAAAGTCCAAACTTGACTTTTGTACAGAAATTAAATGTTGAACCTCACTTTCCTTGATTTGGCATGATTCATTGGCTAAGTACAGTCGGTAAAATTAACCCAGTGTTGGATTGGGCCAATACATTCAAAGACTAGCCCATCAGCATACAGCAAAGGGATATGGGGTTGCTGCTCTTGCGGAATCAGCCAGATCAATAAAGCATTAACTAAATGTATCCCTAGCCAGAGGAACTTTGTTTTTGGAAAGGTTTCCCAGAGAAGAAGTTCTGTCCAGGAATTGTGCAGCCCCTGTTCAGATGAAGTCAAAGACACTGACAGAGACTTGTAGTCTTTGATATAAACAAATTGATTTAATGTACAATTTTACAACAGTCTTTGTCGTCATCCAGAAAAGGAAGAACATAAGATAGTCAGGAACACAGGAACATCATGAGGTAAAACACAGGAACATCATGAGGTAAATCTAAAACCGTATACAGAACAGACAGAAGGAACATGAGGTAAAACACAGGAACATCATGAGGTAAATCTAAAACCGTATACAGAACAGACAGAAGGAAAAAAGGAGGGAAAACTGGGAAACTCACTCTTTATACTTACAGCAACCAATCATAGTGTAGATTGCCTCATGCAGGAGCCAGCACTGTCCGATCAATTAACTACAACTGTGTGTTCCGGCCTATTATACGCTTTACTGTTCCAGCTACTAAATTCAATATCTTAACATGCTCATTTGCCCTATTTGGAAACTCTGCAGTTTGTTCATCAAGAAGAAGAACCTGCATGTAATTCATTGAAGTGTTGGTTGTTAGGAATGTTCATGGGATTCATTGTGTTTTTTTCCCCCTATGTCAGGATTTGGTGTCTGTTGAGGATGTAGCTGTGTGTTTCTCCGTGGAGGAGTGGGCCCTGCTGGATTCCAAGCAAAAAGCCCTGCACCAAGAGGTCATGCTGGAAAATGCAAGGAATATGGCCTCCTTAGGTAAGGAATTCTTTTCAGATAGAACCGAGGTGGCGCAGCAGTTAGAGTGCAGTACTGCAGGCCACTTTAGCTGACTGTGTTCAGCAGGTCAGCGGTTCAAATCTCACCGGCTCCAGGTTGACTCAGCCTTCCATCCTTCCGGGGTAGGTAAAATGAGGACCCAGATTGTTGGGGGCAATGTAAAATATATATATATATATACATTGCTTACTGGTGTACACCGCTTAGAGAGTACTTGCACTTAAAGCGGTATATAAGTCTCATAAATAAATAAATACTATAGTGCAAAATTAATGCACATGAAGTCCTCCAGCATTTTTTTTTGTCTGTATCTCTTCTCTAAATTACTAATTTTCAAGTTTGCAAGCTATTTATATGAGGTTTTTTTTTTTATTCTTTTCTATGAAGCCAGGACTCCATATGGGGAATCTGGCCTTCACAGTTCACTCTCTCCCATTTGTTAAGAATCAGATTCATGTGCATGAAGGGAACAAACAAAATAAGTGGTTAATTTTACATATAATAACGGCAGCAAGAATAGCATATGCACAGTGCTGGAAAAATGAGAATATACCATCAGAGGAAGAAGCGATAAGAAAAATCCTGGACTGTGCTGAGATAGACAAATTAACAAAAGAGATAAAAGAAAAGGAAGACACAGAATACTATATAACATGGAATAAGTGGTATGACTGGTTGGAGACTAGAAATAATGTTGTTGTTAACTGCGAAGTCGTGTCCGACCCATCGCGACCCCATGGACAATGCTCCTCCAGGTCTTCTTGTCCTCTACCATCCTCTGGAGTCCATCTAAATTCACACCCACTGCTTCAGTGACTCCATCCAGCCATCTCATTCTCTGTCGTCCCCTTCTTCTATTGCCCTCAGTCTTTCCCAGCATTAGGCTCTTCTCCAGTGAATCCTTCCTTCTCATTAGGTGGTCAAAGTACTTGAGTTTCAACTTTAGGATCTGCCTCCCCTTACCATAACATTCATCTTACTGTAAACCAGTGGTTCTCAACCTTTGGGTCGGGACCCCATTTGGGTCGAACGACCATTTCACGGGGGTCCGCCATTTTTTCCCCCCTTTTCCTTAGCTGTGCTACTCCCTTTTATTCTATTGGCTTTTGAAAGCCAATAGAATAGACTCTCTTAAATAGAGTCTAATTCTATTGGCTTTCAAAAGCCAATAGGAATTGTCCAGGCTGTCTCTGCCCTGCTGAGCCCGCCAAAAGTCCCATTCTGCAAATGGTGCTGCACCAGTTGAGTAGTCCTCGACTTACGACCGGTTGGGGGTCGCGGCATTAAAAAGGTTGAGAACCACTGCTGTAAACAGTTCTGAACCAGTCTCTCTCTTTCTCTATCTGCAGGACAAGATACTGTACTTTTCCATCAACTCTTTCGTTGGCTAGAAATGTCTTCCCAAGGAAAGCGACCAAGCTCTACTTCACTTCAACATGGACGCAAGAAACAAAGGAGAAGAATCAATTTGGACTTGAAAATGAAAATAATTAAAGCCCACGAGAAGGGGAAGAAGATAAAGACCATAGGAGAAGAAGAAGGACTGGCCTCGTCCACCATCTGCACTATCCTTAAGGATAAAGAAAAGATAAAAGAGGCAATTAAATCAGCTCCAGGAACAGATGCCATAATTACGAGAAATAGGACAGGCCTCATTTCCAAAACAGAACAGCTACTTGTGCTTTGGATTGACGATCGGATCCAGAAAAGAATGCCAATTAGTCTCCATCTGATTCAGGCGAAGGCCCGCAGCATTTTTGAAATGCTAAAGCAAGGAGCAGGTGAGGAGCGCAGTGAGACCTTTGGGGCCAGCCGTGGCTGGTTTATGCGATTCCAAAAACGATTTAATTACTATAACATACGAACTACTGGTGAAGCTTTGAGTGCTGATGAAGAAGCTGCCCAACGCTTTCCAGACAAACTGGATGAAATTGTAGTAGAGGGCAACTATTCGCCACAGCAGATCTTTAATGTGGATGAAACTGGGCTGTATTGGAAGCAAATGCCAGGACGGACTTACATCCACAAAGAGGGCAAAACAACGCCTGGATCTAAAGCATCTGAGGACAGAATAACTTTGTTGTTGGGTGGAAATGTCTCTGGGTTCAAGTTGAAGCCATTGCTGATTCATAGATCAGAGAATCCTCATGTCTTCAAAAACATAAGTAAGGACGCTCTACCAGTGCATTACAGAGTCAATAAGAAGGTGTGGATGACAAAAGTAATCTTTGAGGATTGGTTTGTGTCCTGCTTTGTGCCACAAGTAAGGACCTACTGCTTGGAGAACAAGATCCCTTTCAGAATACTCCTACTTCTGGACAATGCCCCTGGACATCCCCCCCATCTGGGCAATCTCCACCCTGGTGTGAAAGTAGTCTATCTCCCCAAAAACACAAGCTCTCTCCTACAACCTATGGATCAGGGAGCAATTGCAGCTTTCAAGGCACACTACTTACGTGCCACATTGGCCGAAGCTGTAGCTGCAATGGACAGAGAGGAAATAATATTGCGTGACTTTTGGAAAGGTTACAATATCCTTCACTGCATCCAAAACATTGCAGTAGCTTGGCACGATGTCCCTACAAAATGTATGCAAGGGGGTTGGAGCAAATGTTTGAAACGTTTTGCTGTATTTGTAAAAAATTGGGAAGGTTTTGACCAAGATGAAAATGTACAAGTCATCAGTCGGGATATTGTAACACTGACCAGATCCCTTAATTTAAATATTGATGCTGGGGATGTGGAAAATTTCATTGCATACAACGAGGGGGAACTTTCTAATGAAGAATTAATGCAACTGCAAAGTGAATCGGAAGAACAGGGGGATGTGGAGGCAGGAGAAGATGAAGAGGAGGAGGAGGAGGAGGAGGAACAGGAAGATGGAGGAGGAGGCATTTGCACCCCTAAAAAGTTAACATTGAAAGAATTGGCAGAGTTTTTCTCCAAAACAAACCACGTGTTATCTTTTTTGAATGACATTGATCCCAACGAAGAACGTGTGGGTAGAGTCCAAAGAAAAATCAATAACGTTTTGAAATGTTATCGAGAAATATACGAAGCTAAAGAGAAAAGTAACTCTTGCATGGTTCCTCCGGAAAACTACAACACTCCCATCCGCATCTACCTCAACAGTCCTGGATGAGCCTTGGCCATTGACCAGCTGCTCCATCCTTTCAGACCTAATTTTTATTTTTCACTGCACTAATATTTTCCCTTTCAATGTGTTTTGCATTTTATTTTTCAATTATGGAAGAGTATGTGTATTTACATATTAATTATTGTCATTAAAATTTTATACATACAGCAGTGTTAATAATGGTCATTTCTTTGAAGAGAAACGGAAATGGAGAGAAGTGTGCAAGGTGTAGGTAATTTGGTTTAAAGGGAGAGAAGGTTTTTCTTGCCTAACTAAAACTTTTTCTCACCAGTGAATTTTGTTTTGTTAGTTAGGGCCCAGGGTTCAAGCCTGCTAAGATCTTTCTGGATCTTGAGCCTATCTTCTGGAGAGTTACCGTATTTTCCGGCGTATAAGACGACTTTCTAAATCATGAAAATCTCAAAAGTCGGGGGTCGGCTTATACGCCCAGTCGTCTTATATACTGGAAAATACCGTATTTTCCGACGTATAAGACGACTTTCTAACCATGAAAATCTTCTCAAAAGTCAGGGGTTGTCTTATACGCCCAGGTTTAATACAGGAACGCAATGTTTGCTGGCTGTGAAGCTCAGTCCAGCTTCCCATGGGCACAAGATGTTTTTAGGCACTAACTTTACTGCTGATAAATATTACTATATGTTGCTGTTGTTTATTTCAAGACCAGTTTCCAGAGAGGAAAAGAATCCCTTGGCATAAAGGCCATGAAGAAAACACAGTCATTCTAATAATTATGAAGAGAAGCATGCCCTTTGCGAAATCTTCAGGAGGGGGATGACCCGCTGCGTGGTACAGAAGCCAGCACCAACCAGCAGGGACTAGACCAGTGGTTCTCAACCATTCTAATGCTGCGACCCCATAATACAGTTCCCCATGTTGTGGTGACCCCCAACCACTTATACATCACCAGGTGCCAGGGGCGTGGCCAAAGAAAAGGAAAAAAATGGCGGACAGCCTTGTTTGGCGACCCCCGTGAAATGGTCGTTCGACCCCAAATGGGGTCCCGACCCACAGGTTGAGAACCACTAGACTAGACAGTGGCCGGGGCAGGTGTGTGATAGGGCCTTGCGGTGCTGCCTTTAGGAACAGGCACCGGATGCTGGCCTGTTGACGGGGGGGGGGGGTAGAACTGCGGGAAGGGAATGTATGTAAAGCTTGTCAGAATAAACTGCTTTCAGACCGTTCCTGTTTGCCAGTCACCTTGTCTTTCTCTTTTTGCTTCTGTGGGAACCAGGGTCTGGTAAGGACGCTGATACTTCCTCAAAGAAGGTTGGATATTCCAGAATTATTATCTCCATAAGTTGTAAAAAAAACTCATCAGAAGCCCCTGTTAAAAGTTTACCTCTATCTTTCTAAACGGGGAAGATTATCAGTCTTCAAGGTTAGAGATAAAGTCTGGTAAAAATTTCCTGTATGCTGCTGCGATGCCCTGGATTTTATTTTGTGTTTTGTTTAATTTGCATTGGCTTGCCATTAGTGCATTAATTTGAAAAATGTCCTTTTACTGATGTTTATGATGTGATCCTTTTTGCTGCCAGTTACATAGATTTCCTAGTAGGGGATTAAAAGATGGTGCTAATTTAGTGCAATATCAACAATGGCTGAAGGTGAAGGAGTTAAGAAAATCTGAGAAGGTAACCCCATAGACCAGACATGTCAAACTCATGATGTCACGTGATGTCATGCAATGTATCGGGATGGTTTTGCCATTGCCGGCAATGGGGTGGGTGCGGCTTCTGGATGAAACATCCGGCCCGCAGGCCAGCAGTTTGACACCCCTGCCATAGACCATGTCATGTGATGAACAGGTCTAAATACATTTGATTAGTATCCACTAATGAGACCATTACTCATTGCATCTAGAAACCTCCTCTAAAACATGTGATGAAACATAAATTGAGTAGTAAATTAGTTACGTATCTTGTCTGAATCAACCCTGAAAAAAGTCAATTGCTTCACAAAGGAAAATGAATCTGATCTGATTTATATATAGGAGTCGATGAGCTGCCAAAGCATAATGGGTCAGGTTGTGACTATATTTCAAAATATCTTTTTACTGTACTTGGTCAAGGCCTAAGTTGCATGGTTGTAAAATAGATCAATAAATATTTATGGAGTCAAAAATGATCAATGGGCAATAGCCATGAAGTGCTATGAAGCATACTGTTGAATGGAAGCTCAAAGGTGAAAGAGAAAAAAGACATTGACTTTTCAGTCCTAGGACATTGACAAGTGTGTACCACCATGCAATCTTCAGAAGATCAGGTTCACGTTTTGCACACAGAAAATTTGGGGACATCCAAGACAAAGCAGTTCACATTGATCTAATGAGAGTTCAGGTTCTTCCTTAGTGGAACAATTATTTGAGTACAAAAGTAATTAGTAGTAATTTAGCTCAGGGCTTTTCAATCAGTGGTAAGTGTACCATCAATGGTACATTGGCACATGGCAGATAGTACAAGGCCCTGTCCAACCCAGCCAGGTATAGCGGGGAGGGAACGAGCCAAAGTGGCACAGTGCAAGACTTGCCCTGAGAGAGTCCTTGGGAGCTGCAGGGTGGCTGGGGTAAGGCAAAGGCCCCAGGATTAGCACTTCTGGCACACCCGGAAGAGAAAAGAGGAGGGGGTGGAGACAGGAGAGGCTATAAAAGGAGTCAGTTTGGGCAGGAGAGGGAGAGAAAAAAAGACACAGCCTTGGGAAGAGGAGTCAGCTGGAGCTTCACCGAAGGGAAAAGAAGGAGGAGGGGGGGAGAGAGGAGAGGAAATCAAACAGGCCAGCTGGGAGCCGATCTACAACTTCTGTGCCAGGTGCGCACACAGGCAGCAGCAACAAACAGGCAAGAAATACAGCGGGGGAGGGGTCACCCTCCATGAGGAATGAAGAAAGGCAGCATCGGCTGGAGGTGAGGCAAGGAGGGAGGAAGGAAGGAGATAGCAATGAGAAAGAGGGAGGTAGAGAGCAGGAGGGAGGGAGGAAGGAAGGAAGGAAGAAAAAGCTTGATTTCCAGCTATACCTTTAAGAGAAAAGAAAAAAAATGGAGTGCCACCATTTGAAATAGGTGAGAGGAAGCTGGCTGCTCCGGCTGCTCGAGAGATGTTTTTTGGCAGAAGCGAAGTGCCGTTTCAGCAGTTTGGTTCTGGATCAGTTAAACAACAAACTGGGAGAGTGGAAGGATTCTTATGTGATTTTGTGACTTTGAAGTTCTGGGATTTGTGCAACGTGGGCTTTGTGTTCTTAAGAGGTGTTTGGCAATTTCTATTGTGGCTGATGGCTGATGTCCCATGTTGGATTTTGAGTTCTAATTCTATTGCTCTGCTATTGTTAGCTGTAAGTTTTGCTGCAAGGGATTTTGAAGTATTTTTGTCCTGAATGGATTCTTCCTGTAGCATTCGTTTACTTATGAATGGAGCCATTTGGGGAGGCTGCCTTAGTTGGCAGCCACTACTTGCTATATATATTTTTTCCTTAAGTGCCAGCCAGCTCCTTAAAGTTCCTTTCTAGCCAGTAGCTAATGCTTAAAGGGGAATGCACCCTTTAAGCTAGTTTCCTCAGTGGCTTGTCTTTTCTGTCTCTGGATGCTTTTCCTTGTTTGATAAATATATGGAAGAGGGAAAATATGGGGGGGGGATTCAAATTCTTCTTTCAGAAGGAAGGAGATGGGAATGAGAAAGAGGGAGGCAGGGAAGGAGGGAGGGAGGGAAACAGGAAGGAGGGGGGAGGGAGATTGGAATGAGAGAGAAAGATGGTCTGAAGGAAGTCCCGCCTTAGCACTTGGCCACCAGCAGCCCTGCCATTGACTTTGCTTGTCAAAAGGTTGCAAAAGGGAATCATATGACCCTGGGACACTGTGATCATCATAAATACGAATCAGTTGCCAAGCATTCAAATATAAATCATATGACTCTGGGGATGTTGCAATGGTCATAAGTGTGAAAAATAGTCACAATTCACTTCAGTGCCATTGTAACTTTGAACAGTCACTAAGCGAATTGTTGTAAGTCGAGGACTACCTGTACTTTATCACTTTTTTCCTTTTTTTGGTCAAGTTTTTGACACCTTGCTAGGTGGTATTTGAATATTACCATATCCTAAAAGTGGTACAATAGGTGAAAAGGTTGAAAAGCCCTAATCTAAAACACTGGGTGGGAATTATACTACAAGAAAATTGCATCAGAATTGGCTTCCTATTTCATTTTTCAATATTAGCTGCTCTTTTGTATTTAGATCTGGTCTTAGTAAAATAATGTAGCATTTGGGGATGAAGATACATCCCAGCAGGCCAGCACTGGAAGCCAAGATGGAGAAGACCTGCACAGCTACCATGTATTTCCCCTTGGTGCTCAAGTAGGTAGGTACAAAGGATATCCAGACACTGCAGAAGACTAGCATGCTGAAGTTGATCAGCTTGGCTTCATTGAAGGCCCCAGGAAGGTTCCTGGCTAGGAAAGCCACCATGAAGCAGATAGTGGCCAGGAAGCCCATGTAGGTGAGAGCACAGTAAAACATGACAGTGGAGCCTTCATTGCATTGCAGAACGATCTCTCCAGACTGTGAATGCATGTCAGAACCAGGGAATGAGGGAAAGACTCCTAACCAGATGGAACAAAGAATGACCTGGATGCTAGAACAGGAAAGGACGATGGAATTGGCCAAACCTTTCCCCAACCATTTCCTCACTCTGTTCCCTGGCTTTGTGGCTAGGAAGGCCAGCACCACCATGATCGTTTTGGCCAAGACAGAAGAGACAGCAGTTGAGAAGATGATGCTGAAGACTGTTTGTCGAAGAAGGCAAGTGGCTCTCCTTGGCCGACCAATGAAAAGGAAGGAGGTGCAGAAAGAAAGCAGTAGGGAGACCAGGAGAACATAGGAGAGATCCTGGTTGTTGGCCTTGACAATGGGAGTTTCTCCGTATTTATTGAAGATTCCCAAGACAAAACTTGAGGTTAAGATTAGGAAGAGGGCAAAGGAGGTAAGGATGATCCCCAAATTCTCCTGATAGGACAAATAGGTGATGATTTTGGGGATACATTGATCTCGGTTCTTGTTCTGATGTTGATCTTCTGGACATCTGGTGCAGTGATCTGCATCTGCAAAAGGACAAGTAATAAAATAACACTGTGTATCTGGGAGGGGAGGAAAGAAGGAGGTGTGTGTGTGTGTGTGTGTGTGTGTGTGTGTACTTGTCTGCATAAGTAGCCAAAGTTGATAAAGGGAGAAAAGATAGCTGGGTGAAGAAGGGGCAGAGTTTAAAGGAAAAGATGTTTTATTTGCCAAAAAATCTTGGCTCCTGGAAGATTTTCTTGCCTTTTCCCATCTTTGGAGGACAGTT